ATATATATATATATATATATATATATATATATATATATATATATATATATATATATATATATATATATATATATATATATATATATATATATATATATATATATATATATATATATATATATATATATATATATATATATATATATATGTATATACATTATATTATATATGACATAATCTGGAGCGAGTCTAAATAAATGTCTCAGTTTAAAAATGTAAATATTTAAAATATATATACTTAAATTATTTTCCGAAGGTTCAAAGTCTTTTTACTTCAAACTAAAATTACCAGCTTAGTAGTTATTTTTTATAATAGCAAGTTAAAAGTAACTGACGTTACTTTTAACCTACATTTATAAAATTATCCAATACTAAAGCATCTCACAATATCATTCCAACCTGACTAACTTTTAAACCCATTTTCTGATTTAACTGACACAAATATTTTTTGTTTTGATTTTATTTTTGCTTTTTGTCTTTCCGTAATATTTGTTAACCAATCAAATGCTGGTTGGCAAAACAAGTTATTAACCAATCATATGCTGGTTGGCAAAAAAAATGTGCTTCACTTTTTTTCGGAAGTTAGACATCTAGTTAATATATATCATTGATTTGTAGTGAGTCCTTTTTTACTGCAGTATGGAATAGGTGTAAGTTGCGGGGTAAAGCATAAGTGGTGATGACGTTTGTCTGACGGGATAAACTAGTTATAAATGCTGATCCTCATCGAAACGCCAGTATTAATAGTAGGGGGGTGGGGGTTCATAATCATCTTTTTTCAGATTTTTTATAGTTTAACCAATTTTTCTTAATTAATTTTTCATGCTGATTCTAAAAAATAATTATCATTTTTTTTCATTTTAATTATTTAGCCTTCTACTTCAATTTTATTAAAAGTTCATTTTTTGACAAAAAAAGGCATTTTTAAAAATAAATGAAACTATTATTATCATTAAATATAAGAAAAGTAAAAATCTTTTTCTGTTTGATAATACAATAATACAATAATACGATTTATAAGTAACAATGATTTATAATTAAAAAAAAAATTAGGCATTATATATGAAAATAATTCATACAGTTCGTTATATACTATTGAAAATGGAAAATAATTATAAAAGTCATCATATGTGATAGAGATTGCTGCAGGAACTTTCCATGTAGAACATCTAAGTTATGAGCGTGTTCTTTGGTAGACATACGATGGATGTTTGTATTTTTATATCAACAATCATGTATTTAAACAGAATAGATCTCCGCGACAATGACCTACATTGTATCCCTAAAATAAAGAACCTCATTTTTCGAACTTTTTTTTCATTATAACTTATCTTTATCTACTTCAATAATGTCTAGTTTACAGCTAAATGAGCTGCCTTGTAACTTTAATTAAACTAAAACAGAACTCATCTTGCACACCTGATGTAACGTTTGCTATTCTTCCATTGTTATCCATTTGTTTTTGTAGCTGGTTTCAACTATATTCCATTGTTTCAACTTTTTGGACAAACAATTGGACAATAATTTTCCAAAATATTTTTAAACTACGTAAACCTTCATTTTTTATATGGTTTAAATAATTAATTATATCTACTGTTGAAATTAAATGGATTTTTTTGAAAGCTTTCCAACTGCAACGACTTAATCAGAAAGTTAATACTAAGCATATTCCATTATCATCCAAACACATAATACTTTTCTTTTTTTTTGAAGTCCTGAGGCTAACTTTTGCCAAACTACTCTAGCAAGAATGATACAATCATTCAACCACTTTGAGGTATACTTATTAACTGCTTCTAGAATTTTTTTTAACAAGCTATTCCCTACGTTTTAGAGTAAAGCAAAAAATTTCAAAATTTGATCACCCAGTATGTTTTTTATAAAGCCTTTTAGGTAGCAGTATTTCTTTAGCCTGTTTATCTTTAAAGTTGTTAAACCTTTAGAATTATACTGAACTTCTACTGACTGGCAGTTTAAAAGAAGATTTATTCTTGACTTCATTAAAGAAAAACGAGAAAAAAAATGAAATCTTGAATAGCCTTCTTGATAACTTGAGTAGCGATTGAAAATAAATAAAAAAAAAAGGAAATTAAGATATTTTGAAGCAATCTGTCTTTTTGATTACTTAAAACGTTTTGTTTAAAAAAAGACTTCAGATAAAACTCTTTTTTTGAAGTTTTACTTATTTAAAACGTTTTTTTTAGAAAAAGACTTCAGATAAAACTTTTTTTCTAAAACGCAACGATTAAAAATCAAATTTACCCAATCAAAATTTGAATAGCATAAATATGAAAGAAAAGTTGCGTAACTTTATACGCAAAGAAACTTTTGCAAAGACTATTATTTTTTATATCTTTAAATTTTTAAAATAGAAGTAGAATGTCAACCATAAAAAATTAGCAAAAATTGAATATGTTTTTAAATAATATTAGGTGATTAAAGCCCAATTATGTAAAAAGTGAACGAAATTAAATTTAGATGGAGGCAGTGAGGCTAGGGCTAGGGCTATTGCTCTCAACATATCTAAAGCTTTCGAAAAAGTTTGGCATGCTGGTCTTCTCCATAAGCTTGCTTCATATGGTATTTCTGGGAAAGTTTTTGAGATTATCAAATCATTTCTTTCTGACCGGTTTATTAAAGTCATCCTTGAAGGCCAACACTCTTCTTTATTTCCAGTAACTTCTGGGGTTCCCCAAGGTTCCATCCTGGGCCCTGTTTTGTTTCTTATCTACATAAACGATCTTCCTTTCATCTAAAGTAGCTCTTTTTGCCGATGACTCAACTTTATACTCCTGTCTTGACAAAAAGTCTTCTCTTTTCGATCGCCTAGAACAAGCAGCTGATCTTGAATCTGATCTCTGTTCAGTAATAGATTGGGGTTCACAGTGGCTTGTGAATTTCAACTCTAAAAAAACCCAATTGCTTACTGCAAACAACTACCGTAATATGGTCAACATTCCTATATTAATGAATGGCAATCCTCTTACTGAGTCGTCCTCTTTACGTCTTCTTGGATTATTGCTTACTACTGACCTTTCATGGAAACCATATATACAATCGATTGCTAAATTAGCTTCTGCTAAGGTTGCTTCTCTTTATCGTGCTCGCCATTCCCTTACTTCTGATTCCATTCTCTACCTCTACAAATCTCTTATTCGTCCCTGTATGGAATACTGTTGTCATATTTGGGCTGGTTCTTCTAACGATTCACTTTCTCTTCTTGACAAGGTCCAAAAACGCATTGTAAATGTTATTGGACCTAGACTATCTGCTAAGCTTGAACCTCTTTCCCATCGTCGTAAAGTTGCATCTCTTTCTCTTTTCTTTAGATACTATCATGGTCACTGCTCAAAGGAGTTATCATCTCTAGTTCCATCAACTAAAATTCATTCTCGTTTTACTCGTCATTCAGCTAAGTCTCATTTGTTTACTGTATCTGTCCCTGCATGCTCTAAAAACTTTTATTCATCTAGTTTTTTTCCCTGCACTTCAATCCTTTGGAACTCTCTCCCATCTTCATGTTTTCCTGACTCATACAACCTTCAACTTTTCAAGTCTTCTGTCAACCGTTTCCTTGCTCTATAACTCTGTTCTTTTTTTTTTCCTAGTAACTCCCAACTTAATAGTGGTTGCTTGCAGACTTGTTGGGAGTGAATGCAAATAAAAAAAAAAAAGTACTGATCACAAAGTATGGATTTCACATAGTGCAAAATCATATGACTCCCATTAAAAGAAAAATTTGAAAATTTTATTGTACTGAAAAGTTTTTTTTCTCTTTATGTCTTTTTGTTCTAGACTTAATGCTAATTCATTGCATTCAACAAAAAAAAAAAAAAAAAATCAACTTTGTAGCTTGTTCCAATCTTTTTTAATTCAAGATATAAAAAGTGTCAGTTTTACTTGACTCAATATCTAAAAGAAACAAATTCCCAAACAAAAAATTTTATTCCGAAAATAAACTTTAATTTCTCAAAAGATGAAAAAAAGATTTTGATAATGTTATGTTCTGAGAGCAAATTTAATCACTGTTTGAAATGACAAAGTAAAACATTAAGGTTGATGAAAAAAGCAACTGAAACAGCATAAGGAACCATCAGTCTGATAAAAAAGTAAAAAAATGTTTGTATTTGCATAGACAAGACAGCAACACTAAGCATACGTCAAAGAAGGTTGAAGTGTTTTTTATCTTAGAATAGCCGGCTCAAAGTCCAGATTTTATTGCAATTGAACACCAATGGGCAATTCTAGATCAAAAAAGTGGCTATTTCAAAACAAAACAAAGAGCAATTGATCATGCTCCTAGAAGCTTGTCTTGAATCAATCCAGATACAACAAAGAAATTAGTTAAACCAATGCAAAATTGACATGCAGAAGTCTTAAACGCTTAAGATGGTCTAAATAGATATTAAAAAGTCAAAAAATTTAATTACTTGTAGAAATGTTTAATAATTAAAATTTGGTTTGGACCCTCATTTAAAGTTAAAAAATGCAAATTTGAATGCATCGTTAAGCTTTTACCACATAAATCTAATTATTTTAACTTTTAAGTTATGATTCTTGATTAAATGAATTCTTGATTGCATTTAAAACAATCATAAATTTTTTTATATAAATCATATTTTTTCTGAAATTACTTGTCAAAGTTTACTTGTTTACTTTTTTTTTTTTTTTAATATGTTCAGATAATTATATCTCCTACTGAATAAGATGTGTAATAGCTGACACATGTGAATTCAAGTGTTATCAAAACTGATATTTATACTTGTTATATTTTCTAAAAAAATATTAATTATTTTAAATTTTTCTTAAAAACGTGTTAATTATTGTCAAACATAATAAATACTAAAAAATAGAGTCTATCATTTAGAGAAGGAAAAATTTAAACAGCTTTAAAAAAACTTAATGTTTATAAACTTTTGATTTTAATAGACTAACACTTTTGATAAATCGATTTTATCTAAAATGACTTACAATAATGCAACAAAGTATTATAGACTTACCAAAAATAGTAAACAAAAATAAAGAATCTTCACAAGTTTTTTTTAAACGATTTAGGTTAACAAGAAATTTTAAGGAACTATTTTGATTTTTATTGGTTAAACCATAAATCATTGATAAACAACTCTTCAGCTTTTCATTGGTCATAATCTCTTTACTACTTAAACAATTATATGCATATATAGATGCACAAAACTCCATTATTGTCAAATGTGCAAATTGATAAATATATTCACCAAGACTTGTTTTAATCCTTTCAATAAATCCTAAAAAATTATCTTCATTTTTATCAAAGTCAATGATAAAAGTTTGAATGTCTTCTTTGGAAAAAATTACTTTATTTTCAACAAGCAATTGATATGCAGTTTTACAAATGTTTAAAATATATTTTTTATTGTATTTGTTTTTCATAAATTGAGAAATCGATTCATTGTTTTTGATGATGTGTTTTTGCAAAAAGTGTAAAAAAATATTTGCATACAAGTCTGTCATTGTTAAAAAAGAATTTTTGTATAAATTTTTTGAATTACTAATATTCCTACATATGAAAGATAAATAAAATGGAACAGATGACATTGATTTTGTAATTGCAGATTCCTTCAAAGTTGTTTTCACAACATCTTTATTTTCCTCTAAAACATTATTTTCTATATAATTATTTATTCCATCTTCATTAAATCCCATAATTTGAATGTTTATCTTATCACAATCCTCTGTAGATATACTTTGAAACTGATCAATTGCATAAACTCTACCAGCAACTACATATTTATATTTTTGAATTTCTGTTAAGACATTAACAATTGGATAGTTATAACTCGAACTGCAATTTATTAACTCATTTAGATATTTAAACTCATCTAATCCATCAATTATAAACAGTGCAGAATAAATACTAATATCGAAATCATTTACAATGTCTTTGTAGAAAACATTTAGTAATTCATTAATATTTGAAATACTTTGATATTGATTAAGCCTTTTACATTCCAAATAAAACACAAGTTTAACATTTTCCCAAATTAGACCATTTGACCAATCAAGCAAACATTTTCTAAGCAACCATGTTTTTCCAATACCAGCTATTCCAGATATTAATATTATAGATTTGTCTTTCATGAAAATTTCACTATATGGAATAGGTGTAAAACGCAATTGCTTTTCAAGAAATTCTTTGCGTTCACTTAATACAGCATCTGTTTGAGCATTAACTGCATCAACAGTACATAGATCAACGAATTTATGCATTAAACCAACATTTGCAGGTGATTTTAGTGGTACTTGAACTTCATTTATTTTCCCATAATTTGTAAGATAAAAACCTTTGAGTGCTGTGCATATCTCTGATATATCTAAATACAATAACTCATTATCATCTTCAAATCATCATCATCGTCATCATCATCATCATTGTCATCATCATCATCATCATCATCATCATCATCATCATTATCATCATCATCATCATTGTCATCATCATCATCATCATCATCATCATCATCATCATCATCATCATCATCATCATCATCATCATCATCAAATCATCATCATCAACATCATCATCATCAACATCGCCATCATCATCATCATCATCATCTTCATAATCATTATAATCAAATGTAAAAGATTACAGGTCATTATCATGGTTAAATATGAAAACCTTTCAATATTTTAAATAACAAGTAAAAGAAAAAGTTTTAAAAGATTTTGTACATATTTTTTAATTGAAAATATATGCACCAGATTAAACTAGACAGTCAAGTCTAAATGAAAAAAAAAGTTTTATTTATCTCAATATTGAAAACAAAATTAAAAAATTTGTATTTATCATAATGTTGAGAGTCAAGTCTAAATTAAAATTAAAAAAAAAAAGTTTAAAAAAATTTGTCTTCTTTAAAAAAATCTTAAATTTTAAATTTTAAATGTCTGAAAAACCTGCGATTTGGTAATACTAAACCATCCTATACTATACATACACTTGATATTTTGCTAATACTGAAAATTCTACTTCCATTCTATGCTATGCTATACATTACTATGAAGAACTGGTTACCAAGGGTTGTTTTAGACTCTGTCAATGAATAAACTCCAACAAGCCCTATTATCAAGCTTGTAATTTACAAATTAGTGCATGGATTACTTATACAGGCCTTAAATTAAATCCAATTATTTGACTTATTTTTTGCTTCTGACATATTAAATCATTTGACTTTCTAGTTAAAAATAGTCCTCTTAAACTCTAAAAATATCTGCGGTAGTGGTGTAGTGGTAAGAGCGCTCGCTTTGTAAGCGAGAGGTTCAGAGTTCGACTCCCACCACGTTCCTGGAAGTACAGCGCTCAACTTAATTTCTCTGCGCAGTGGCCTTGTTTGTCAAGGTTCGTGTTTCGGAGTTAAAGAGTTGAGAAAGGGTTGTACCACGATTTACAACAACAACAAAAAAAATAATGAGTAGCCTCCTCAAGTAAAGGTGGCTCCCTCGGGCCTTGGGGAGGTGAATAATTTAAAAAAAAAAAAAAAAGTCTGTGTCATGGTTTCAATAACTGTATTTATAACAATTTTAATAACCAAACCTTCTTTTATCATTTTAATAGCTGCATTAAAAAAAGGTATTATCTGGATCATTGTAAAAAATCCTGTTGTAAAAAATCCTGTTGTAAAAAGTAAAAATCCTGTTGTAAAAAGTAAAAAATCCTGTTGTAAAAAGTTAGCTTCTGAATTCTTTGTAAATAATCTGTGTGTGGGTATTTTTAAGCTTAAGAATAAACATCAAGAACATTGTGATTTAAATAGATTCTGAGAAAGTAAACTCCATCATATTACTTTGTAAGGTCAAATGTTCTTCTAAAAATTACAGAATTTTAAAAAAAGGTTTAACCTTTTTTTTTAGTAAGAATACATTCATGTCGCTAGATCAACATATGCAACATAGGGCAAACCCTATGTTACATTTATAAGAACAAGATTTTTTGTAGTTTTTTAAACGTGAAGTTTAAAATAAAGTTGATAAACGTTCATAACAAGGTAAATCAGTTAGAACATTTTTCACATAAACACTAATGCATGCTTTTATAAATATTTATATCCTAATAACTTATTATTATTTAAATATTTATTTAAATTCTAATAAGCTATTAGTATTTATATTGTCAAAACAGTCTGTGTCAAGAAACTAATCTTTTATGCCAAATCTAGTTTTTTAGTAATGCATTATACTGGCCTAAGCTAAAGCAACTTTTACAATAATTTTTCAACCACTACATATAATTAGAGGTATATGTATTTTAATCACTATTAATACAATTTGATTAATTTATACTAGGGGTATAAATTACATAATGCAATGTCTACAAATTACAAATGCAATTTCTAACTTGGCTCCCTCTATCCTTGTTTTTCCTTTGTAACAAGCCCTGAATAAGTAAACGAAAGGCCAAAGCGTAATCTAATTTATAGATGAACTCTTAACCGCTATACATTATAAGGAGAGAGGAGTCTGAACAGGTTTCATGTCATTGACATGAAACCTGTTCAGACATGAAACAATTTAAAATCAAACTAACAACAACAACTGAATTAGTATAATGTGAAAAATATTTTGAGATTTTAAATATAAAATAAATCTTTTTTACATAAATTCGATTTTAGTGGATTTGAAAGATTTTACAATTTGTTATAATATATTGTTTAATGAAAATTATATATTATATTGGTCTGAATTATATTTTAAATGAAGCTACTACCTCTCTACATGCAGATACCTAAATCAAACATACCTAAATACAGATCAATTTATCCAAGTGACGCCACTCATCCACGATTATATGGTGTAATCAAGGCACACAAACCAACTAATAACTACCAAACGCGAATTATAATAAGCACAATAGGGTCACCTACATATAAATTATCCAAATATTTAGTAAATCTCATTCAACCTACCTCCAATCTAAACAAAACAAAACTTCGAAATTCGAAACAAATTGTTTAATGTGCTTAATCATGGTATATGATCCTGGTGAATTTCAAGTTTCCTTTGATATTGTTAATCTTCACCCTTCAATACCAGTTAAAGAATCAATCAATATTTTATTTGAACAACTCCGTAATAGTTCTGTCTTTAATTCAAAATTATAGTTTTAAGAAATAAAAATACTTATAGATTTGTGTTTATTAAACTGTTATTTTTTACATGAGAACAATATACACACATTATAAGATGCCGGTCCTATTGGTTTATCATTAATGTTAGTAATGGCAGAGAATTTTCTGCAACATTATGAAGAAAAGCTTTAATACAGGCACAACATCTTACACAACCAATATGTGTAAAATCATTCAAAAGGTATGTTGACAATATCCATTACCGTTTTAATGATGAGGCAAAACCAGAACATTTTCTTGACTTGTTAAATAATCAACACACAAGTATTAAATATGCAATTAAAAAAAAAAAAACTCACACACAATGAATTTTCTTGATCTCTCAATAAAAAATAACAAATCCGGAACATATCTTTTTAATATATAAGCAAAGATGCAATAACAAAGGTGTAAATAAAGCCACATTCTTGTCATGATCCAAAAATAAGAAAACATAAATCATGAATTAAAGTTTCTTACAGAAATGTTTATAGAAAATGGTTATAAAAAAAATACTTCAAAACATTGTCAAAAAAATTAAAAACAATAAGCAGAATAATCAATAAAAAAATAACAATAACATCAAAAAACTAGAACTTAACTATATTTCACTGCCATGGGTACCAAAATTAAGTATCCAATTTAAAAAGATATTTAAAAATGCTGGCTATACTTTGGTTTTTAAATCACCAAAAAACCTTCAACAATTATTAAGTCAAAAAAACAAGCCTTAACTTCCCAACAACTCTTATCCAGGAGTCTTCAAACTGGTGGAAAACTCTATGTAGGTAAAACAAAACTCAAGGTTTCAAATCGCATTTGTGAACATCAAAAACATACTTTTGAAGGAAAATTCGACTGTTCTAGCCGGGCATTCCAGAAATAAGAGAACTATATAAGGATAAGTTTACATACTATAACAGATATTTTAACTTAATTAAACTATATAAAAATTTATCTATGATGTTAACTTTTAAAAATTGTAAAATAACTATTTAATCTTTTTCAAAGGTCAAGGGATATTACTAATAATAATTGGTTTTTTATTTATATGGATTAATAAAAATGAGACTTTTTATGAAAAAGACAATAACTCGAAATAAGCCAAAATAATTAAAAAATCTGAGATAATCACTAAGGAAATTTTCAAATAATTAGCTCATCTTATGTGGAATGACCCTATATTATATAGGGTGTCAAGTTTACCTTGTGGCATTTGTCATAAATCTGTTTCAAGTAATTACAAAACAATACAATGCAATTCTTGCAATAAATGGATCCATCTTAAATGTAATTAATAATACCTACATTTATCTTATGTCACAAACAGGTAACTACTGTTATACAAGTTTGCAAAACACTTTTGGCATATTTAAATCTTTCTTAATGAACTGAAGCATAAATGGTGCAAATAACTTCTCAATAGAATACAATAATACAATAAATAAGAATTCTATAAGTCTTGCTTATATTAATATATCAACATTCTATATTGATGACCTTAGATGTCTGCTAGCCTTTATGAAAAACAAACCATAAATGATTGCAATATATAGACAATAATAAAAGACAAAATTTCAAAAGAAAAAGCGGATTTGAGAAAAGATATAGCATCTAATTTATTGTTTTTTTTTTTTTTTTGCAAAGCTATAAAATTTTGAACAAATAGAGGATTTTTTTTAATGTTTCCACACTTGTGTGGTTTAGAAAAGTTTCAATAACGCCTTTTTTATGTTAAATAAAAAGGATTTGCTAAAGCAATGTTTCGCAATTCAATGTCAGTTTAGGCCTTAACCAGTTTTACAGACCAGCATTTGCATTCCTTAAGTTTTAGCATCTTTGCTTTCTTGGACTTTAGTATTGAATATATTGAATGTGTAGTGGTGTAGTGGTAGAGCACTAGCTTCATAAACAAGAAGATCTTCCAAGCAATTTGAAAAAAAAAAATTTTTTTAAACTTTTCTTTAAATTTTTATACAACTTTTGTATTCTTTTTTTAGGGTGGTTGTTATTTTTAGCAACCGAAATTGATATAAGTTGAGAAAAAAAACATTTTATAACAATTTAATAACAATATGGAACGTATGGTCTTGACAACAGTCAAAATAAGCATTAACTTATAAATAATTCTCCTTTATTCTAATGTACTTCAATTCTTCCCTCAGGCGTTCATTGCTGGTGTGTGACCATTTGGCAAATTTTATATGCCA